TCCAGCTTGGGCAACAAGAGCAAAACTCTGTCTCAAAAAAAAAAAGAAAAGAAAAAAGAAAATGTTGAGTAAGCTTGTTCTGCATTCCTACACAAAGAATACAACAGCAATATTCCACAGTGGTAAAACAAAATAAGTAAAATTATCCAAGTAAACTAAATTAGAAAGCTCTCCATGAACTGGGCAACTGTTGGAATCAAGCTGATATGGGGTTGCTAGCTCATTGCAATGTACCCAGATATAGAATATTGATCCAGATGTTTACATTATGCATCCCTCTTGTTTTTTCTGAGCAGCAGTTAGAGATCACCGGTTAGGTCCCAGGAATAAGCAAGGTTAGCCTAAATTGCAGAAACAAACTTAAAAATAACTGATGAGACTAGAATTTAATAACAAGTATACCATAGTTTTTGAAACATAATTTCTCTCTCCAGTTTCCCATTTTTACTAAAGACAAATCATAGTAAGACCAATTTGTTTTCTTATACTTGGCCTGATTATTTGTATAGTGCAGCAAGAATAATTATTTTTCACATAAGCTCTTTTTAAATTGGCTTTGATCGAACTCTGTTTAATAGAAGGAATTTTAGATAAGACTTTTTTAGAGCTGAGCGCCGCCATGGGTTTGTATCCATGAGTTAGGTAAATTACTCTCTTCTTGGGGTCCCAAGATAACTTGGGGCTCCTGGACCTGTTAGAAGTGACATTCTTTACTTACAGGTCAGAAACCTTGTACAAAGACTGTTGTAGATGAGGGGTGAGACCAGTTCCCTAAGGGGCTTTTACTGGCTTTACAGGTCAAGTTTGATTCCTTAAAGGAAAGCACACCATTCCAGTCAAAGCCTTGGTGAAATAACCAGTTGTTCCAAATGTGTCCTGTTGCAAAAGAAAACAGATTCTTATTGCACTTTTGCAAATAACTCTACTGCCGTAAGTTAAAAATACGCACAACTAGTTTCCAAATTCTGGAGAAACTGGGTAGAGAAAAACAAATATGCTCCAAATTTTGTTCACAGGAGTATACTTTACTTAGTTGCTACAAGCTGTAAATAGCACAAAAGAAGTTTCCTCGATTCTGAAAAACAAAATAAAGAATCACCAGCGTTTTAAGCAAAAAGTTAAAAAGATTACTTTAGATTTCTATTACTTTAGTCCATTCAGTTAACATTTGTTTGATATTCATGAACATTTCAGTTCTCCTCGAGAGTTCTGAAAGTTTTTTCCACTATTCTAATGTCACAATTTCCAAAGTTATCAGAAACCTGCATTTAAGAACACCTGTTGGCTGGGTGTGGTGGCTCATGCCTATAATCCCAGTAGTCTGGGAGGCTGAGGCGGGTGGATCACCTGAGGTCAGGAGTTCAAGACCAGGTTGGCCAACATGGCGAAACCCTGTCTCTACTAAAAATACAAAAATTAGCCAGGCATAGTGGCGTGTGCCTGTAATCCCAGCTACTCGGGAGGCTGAGGCAGGAGAATGGCTTGAACTCAGGAGGTGGATATTGCAATGACCCAAGATCATGCCATTGTACTCCAGCCTCAGTGACAAAGCAAGACTCCATCTGAAAAAATAAAAAAAAATTAAGAAAAAAAGAAAACACCTGTTAAAGTTCTACAGTTGATTATAAAACCACCTTTTTTTCC